GGAGTCTGAGTCATTTCGAGACAATTGGTGGACATTTCGCAAATGAAGCATTTACTTTATGATTGTTAGATTTTATTAACAAGTCCTGTTATGTTGTGTTAAATACATTCAATTGTCCCCACCCGTGTTCTGTTCACTAGAGTGGTACTTATGTAAACTGATGAAAATAGAGAAAAAAATTACTGACTATCATTATTGTGAATAAATCTTGATCTGAGTAGTGAATAATTAGATAATATCATGACTTATACAATTAAATGATCAATATAGAATTTGATATTTTATTTAAAACTTATATGATGAATGTATTTTTAAAGATAAGAAAGTTTAATGTCTAACAGGATAGAAAAGAAAACTAACACTATTGGCTAAATTCCTTCAAGAATCATTTTGCATATGAAAAGCTGAATTAGGAGAATTATGATATTATAAATTATATTTTCTATAAGAAAGTTTTAAAAGTGGGTTGTCTAGTCTATTCAAATATGTTTACGACGATTAACTGTTGTATATTTTAAGTAAAGGGTTATAACTAATAATTTAGCATCTAGCTTAATTTGGCTTTTTATGTTGTAGATTTCTTGGGCTAGATTTTACATGTCGACTTTTTTTGTCGCAGTAATCCTCACATAAGAAAATTGACATCTTATAGTTCATAATCAAGTACTTCAAATATTATGGTAGGTTAAACAAGTATTTGATTATTTTAGCTAGAATTAACTGAAGGATGAACGTATGTAATCAGTTCGTCACTATCTACTATGAGATAACTTATATTTTAGTTCAGCTAGCCTTTGTTAGTTCATCATGTCTATTTAAATCTGAAACCAGACAATATTTAAATCCGTTAGTTCAAAGACTTTCAGGTGGGATTTATAACGGAATTCGGCTTTAGTCATACTACAGCTTCTAATTCACTTATTATTCAAGATGAAAAAGACAATGAGAGCACTGATCATTCTGGCAGAATACGATAGAACGACACTCTATGGGTTACAATTTTATTCGTTAAATAAATGCCCCAACTGCATACATTCGTTGGCATGTTAATAAGACTTCTAAGACAATAATTATGTGCGTGAGCTTCGCTTTTGTGAATAACCCCATTCTAATTTCTCCTTGTCATTCAGTCTTTCATACAACTAAAAAACTAGCATTATAAATTAACATGATTTATAACAAACACTCCACACAATATTTTTTTTCGATGAATTTATATTCTCTGGGCTAAACTGTTTAGTCATAAAGTTCACATTGTTTTTCCAATCAGTATAATCAGAGGAAAGTTTAAACGGAAATGAGCTATCACAATTTATCTACTAGTGACTGATATCTAGTACTGCCAAAATTGTATTCGTTATTATTACTTATTATGTATGTATTATGTATGTATTTCGAACTAGTACTCTTATTGGTTTGTCAAGGACATGAGTAGAATGATATTGAGTCTAAACATTTTAGACATAGTTAGGCTTAAATTTGTCAACAAGAGAAGGTTTATTAAGTAACTTTCGTTTAATGCTCTTTGGTTCTGCATTTCAGTAAAGGTGCAAAAATGATAGTTTTAATTATTAAAAGTACATTATACAGCAGGTTAATTTAGCATTTACTTACAACCATAATTTTTATTGAGCTAATCAGTAAAGTTAAATTTTGTAGTTTATTACGATATAATAAAATCATTTGGTAAAGAGATAGCCTCTGATGCAGATTGGTACAAGCTGAATAATATTCAGTAATTTGAAGAAATTAATAAAATTTGAGACCCTTAACAAGTGTACATTCATAATCCTAGGGAAAAACAAATGTAAAGCCTTTAGTTTTCACCTTAATCATGAGTCACTGGACATAACTCTAATGACCTGGATGGTGTAACTCAACGGGTTATGTCTCCTTTAACTCTAAGCCTTCCAAGTCGTAGCTAGCCTATTGAAGTTTATTATCATGTGAATGTCTTTTTCAAAGAAGTATGCTAACGTCACTGTGGTGTAACTGCAGCGAAGTTTTTGATACAAATCACTTTGTGGATGTGTCGCTCAATTTCGTGGATTGTTTGATGTTAGACATTAACACCGTAGGATGCCGGGTCAGTGGTCTGGAGGTTAAGCGCTCGCACGCGAGAGTGATAGGTCTTGGGCTCGAATCTTTCAAGGTGGGGTCGTGAATGCGCACTGCTGAGGAGTCCCACAATAGGACGAAGCGGCCGTCCAGTGCTTCCAGGTTTTTCATGGTTGTCTAGCTTCAATTGACTCATGATCTCAATTACTGAAATTACCATACTATCCACAAAAACCCTTTCTGATAAAAAATAAATAAGTCATTCTGACTGATTGGTCAATTGTGTTATTTCGCAATTTGTTGTTGATTTTTAAATAAAATCAGATAAATTACTAAAGAACAAACTTGTTTTAGATCCAAAAGTTAGACAAGTTTTTTAACATCAGTCATCATCTACATTATACACATGTCAATTTTACTAGGTGATCGTTTCGCCAGTTTAGCTTCAAGTAGATAAAGGGAGAAGAAATACTTTCAAGTAAACATGACAAATTAAAAACAAGTGATATAAAAGTGTATGATTACAAGTAGTGTGATGATAAGGAACAACACCTCATTGGTTCTTAATGAACTTCATTTTAATGTTTGACTAACTGTATTTTTTGTACAGTCACCTTGGTTATATCAACCATATGCCGGTAGAAGTCTTTGTTCTTTTATTAATATCGGTATCTTCGTCTTTTTGTGAACAATACTGTTTTGAGAACTTTGCGACTTGTCAAAATCTAGTTTTTTCAGAGAGAAATATTACTCTCCTATAGATCGATAATGTATGGTGAATGAAATGAAAAATTTTTATATAAAAGGAAAGATGTTAGCCAAAGTTGAGCTAAAATGCGCTTCTATATGGATTTGCAAGATAAGGAGAGAGATTGTACAAACTTCTTTTGAGTACAAAGGTTAGGTTTGTGGATAAAGAATTCAACAGCTTAAGCAGTATGCAAAAGACGACCACGTGGACTATGTGGTAAACTTGATGGAATACGATGGACAACCTTAAAAGCTTTATTATGGTAAACTTAAGTCCTGTCTCCACCACGTGATAATTTTTACCTTTCCTTTGCTCAGCTAAGATGGAAAGGTCATTTTCAAACAGATCAGTGCGCGTACCTGTTAATATTTTTTTTTGAAGTAACATTCTTAAATTGTTTTGAATACTATGATTTACTAGATAGTGGTCAGTATCAAAGTTTTATCTTCAGACAAGTTGATTCGTAGCTATAAAGGTCATTTTAAATAATCATTACCTTATCACATGATGTACAATTATTTTTTAGTTCTAAAAATGTTTAAACTGTTTTGGTTCGTACTTAGAGATCGTTTGCTTTAAGGGATTGGTTACTACATAACATTTATCAAAATGTGTAACTACAACTTGTGTAGTTATATTTTTCTGAGTATAATCAAGGTGAAACCTAACTAGTTTATAGTAACATGCTCTCATTAAAGCTAAATTGTTATAGGTGTACACTGTCTAATATTCTCGAACTATAGTGAAATAAATAGTTAGAATAATTCAATTTTTAATCAGTTTTAGCTACTGTTATCATTTCAGCGGTTACTTTCTTCCTATATAAGTAAAGAATCATGGTTTTATATAATAATACAACAGAAAAAGGAATATTTCTGGTTATTTTAGGTTCTAATACGTCCAAAATACCGTTTTATTAAAAGGTCATGCAGTATTACCTGGTACTTTTCTGTAGTTAATCATTAGTTAAATATTATATTGAAATGTATATTGTAAAACGTTTCATGGAATGTGTTTCTATTGTTCCTATTATCACAATGTCAAGTGAAATCATGACACAACTTTAAGCCTCCATTAACCGATACATTTTCACCATTGAATCTAATCTAAGAAAAAGAAGCGTTTAAATTTAGAAATGATGTTTAGATAAAAGCTGTAATTGTAAAATTTCCTGACTTTTAAAAGATTCAAAATATATTCCTATTTAAATAGTTTAGCTGTGGTTTCATTGAGTCGCTGTATGAAATGGTTATTTACCTTAATGTATAATAAATAGAATAATTGGTTTAGATGGGTCTAAGTATATAACCTTAAGTAGTATTAATTTTAGTTGTATATTTCAAGTTTATGTTAGTCATATTTGGTTGGATTAACTACAGATCATGATAAATTCATAATTTAATACAGTGAATTTGTTAGAATGCACAATGAATTTGATAATTGATACTTTTAAACAACTATTGAAAATCTTTATTCCAAAAGCTAAAGTAATGTCTTCATCTGATTCAGATACTTAGAATATACCATCTAATGATGTAATTGAAGGAACTCTCAATAGCTGCATTTTTTTTCTTAAAATATTTTGTGCGAATTAATCTTTTCGTTTTCATTGGTGATTTGCTTTTACGGTTGTATATTTCACTTTTAGGACTCGGTAGCTAAGTGGATAACGCGATGGCGTTTGAAGCGAACGGTGTTGTGTTCGAGTCTCAGAGTGAACACTAACTCTGAGATGCAGGTACATCCAGCTGACAAGTCCCAAATAGGAGGGAACACACGTCCTGGATTCCACTTCTAGCCACTATATTTCACTTTCCTAATGTATAATATCACTGATGAATTAAGTTTTGAAGTATGTTACTAATAACTGTTAGAGATTATTAGAGTAGATAATAGCATATTCCTTTTGCTCATATCCTAATTGACATGTTACTTTAAGAAGCCATTTATTTATATTTAAATTATCTACTGTGAAGTGAGAATTTAAAACCTAGATTCACAGCTTGTTCCTTCAATTATCAAAGATAACTGAGTTAGAGTAGTCAAAACAGGAAATTTTAATACTGAACAGCAATAAAAAGTTTGGCGGGTGATTTTTTCGAATAGAAGTTTTTTCATTGACTCTTAACTGGATACTAAGAGTACATAATAGTCTGGAATTTATTCATATTTTTTTAGATTATAGCATAAAATGACCAGAACGAATTTATTCACATTTGGTGTCCCCAAGATTATATTCTATATTGGGTTATTATGTGGATGTATATTAAATGAAACAGTAACAGAAAAAACAATTTACAATTATGAAATACCAATCAAACCAAGAATATCTCATCGACAGAAGCAGTTGCTAAAGTCAATCCATGTGCCAGAGATTAGTTTTGAAGTTTATGGAGAATTTCCAACAATTAAGCACTTTGATTTATTTGAAGATGAGATAACTTCCAAATATCAAAAAATGTCACGATTTCTAAATTTACGAGAAAAGCGCGACTTACAAAACTCAGAGGAAACTTTTTTAAGTGGTAAGACATATTATTTTTTTCGATAAGATAACTTTGTGTTTTAGGACTGGTGTGATACCTATACTAGATAATCTAGCCTAAACACCCTTTATGTAATCTTCCGTAACTCATCTACGATTTGATTTGGTCTAACTAAGTGAAGTTCAAACTGATTTAATTAATATAGGCGTATACAAATACAGTTCTAAGCTTAGAAATCATGATCGATTGTATTCAATCTTTTAGTGAGAAATGATTTCGAATTTTTACAGGTGCTTATATAAGTTGTACTGACTTCAGCGACCGACCTATATGCTTGAATAGGAGATAGTCCAATGTTCTTCTAAACAAGTAAACTGTTAATCATAGCTGATCGTACCATGTATACTTTAAAAAACTGATATTGGTCGCATTCACTGTAACAGTACCCTTGATATAATATTATTTATGCAAACATCCCAGCTATAACCGTGATTGACTAACTTGTCATTTAATCTTTATGTATGCGATAAGGGTAATAAATAATTCTTCCATTAAATAGAAAGACATTTAACAGTATTATGGATTGAGATAAGACACTTGGAACATGGACCTGAATAAATAAATCTTCGTGAATGTATATCTGATCAAGATGTTCTTTGTATGCATGTCTATAAAATAGTTTAAACTATTTTGATGTAGCTTCACTTTCATAGTCCTTTTTGATAAATATTATAACTATTCAATAGGCAAGTTAATATATCACTGATATTAGATCAATATAACTGAAATATTACCATCATTCTGATGATTTCGGTTTGTCTTTTTAGATAAACATTCAGTTTTGATTAAAAGTAGAATTCATTCTCCATTGAAGAATTGGGATGATAAATTAACTGATCCACAATCTAAAATATACAAACTGTTATCAACTAGTTATTGTGAATTTGTAAGTAATATGTATCATTTCTGAATAAAAAAATGGTTTTAAAATATTTTGATTACTTAATAACTAGATAAGAAATTTAATTATTTCTTTTGATAAAAGTTATAGAGTAATTATGGATTACGAATATTCTATGTAGTCATTATGAACAGAGTAAGTACACATTTTGTTAGTAAGAAAAGCTGTGAAATGTTTAGAGAAAATTAAATGAAAAACATCAAAATCGTACATCATGTTATCGAATTGCGATAGTTTTCTGTATCTGACTTAAGTTCATTTGAATCTTATGATTGTAGGGAAAGTGATTGCTACGAATATATGACAATATCTTCCACACATACGTCTTAAGTTAATAATTATAATTAACAAACTGTTATAACTTGTTAACCTGTGTGCCCTGTTTATTGTATAACGCAACAATACCGCCAATCAGAGAGCAGCGAATTATCGACCGAACCAGTGACGCATAAAACACGTACGAGCAACCTAGAGTTCGGATTAGTCTCGCTTCCTGTCTAGCCCAGCCAGTTACGTCCAGAACGCCAATCTCAGCCTCTGCAATATGAATCATTTATTTCAAACATACTCGGTTTATATATCAACCAGACAGACCACAACGTACCATAAAATATGACACAACATTTGTACAGGAATTAGCCAAAAGTGGCTGTGAATGAGGGAGATAGTAATTAATAGACAGGCCATAACTCAAGAATGATAAATCGTATAGTAATAGTCTATGGGTCAAATTAAAGCCTATAATAAGAGCGACATGAATATGAACAGTTTAGTTGCATAACAATTATATGATAAAAATATACGTTTAGTATTGGTCCATAAATGGATCCCAAAAATTACCATTCATTATTCTTATCGGGATATAACACAAACTGTATAATTGTATCCGTACTACAGTTCACTCAGAAGATAGTTAATGTTGAATTAAAGTATTTAATAATAAATTCACTTTATTACTGCGTATAACACAGATATTAGTGTTAGGTATTAATGGAGACTGAAATATTTACTGGCTTCACTTTTTAAGATTGTCTTATAAAAAACATTTGACAAACAAATTTCATCATTTCAATTATGTTTTACTATGTAACTTATTTCTTTCCACAAAAGTTGTTTTATAATATTCAATCATTTTTATTAACTTAGGTTTATTCTACGATGGTTTTATTCAACTTTCAATTATTTTTTTTGTTTAAAAAAATAGTTACTACAAAGTTTTCGGCATGCGAATACAAGTCAATTTAAACAACCAAAATGTACGTTTATAGAATTCACAAAAGGTTCTATTATACTCAACGCAATACTAACATTTAACGAAGCGAATTATTCACTATTATCTTCACAAGATCTATCAAATTTATTGATAAAAGGCAGTGAAGAATTGATCAATTCCATAATTAATGATAAAAATTTTTCTCTAGAATTCAATTTTAATGGAGATTTTTCACTCAGATGTAAGTTTTACTGGTTTATTTCTTTGTATTTAATATAAGTGATTGCTAAATGGATAGAAAAAACTGTTACTATCGACGTATAGAATAAAAAAATACTACTTAACTAATAATTTACTTGTATTCCATATACTTGATAAAATGTTTTTCTGTTGAATTTATTTGAATAGGCAGTGTAATAGCAAAAGATTAGTTGTAAGGGAATACAGAAATTAAACAAAATATAGTAATACAAATGAATTTATACTCTATTAATACATGGATCACAGTTATTCTTCTTATTCAGCACTAACAATATAAATTTAATACTACAATCAGTTATTTCAGTCCCAATGATAATATTGTAAGAAACCCATGTTAATATTGTTCAGAAGACAAACAGACTGGCTGATATTTTAGAAGTGAATACAATATTCTTTTCGGATTCTTTTTAATCACATGACATATAAGAATGATCAAACGGTATCAACTTTAGCATTTTCTTCTGAAGTCAAGAATAATTTATTATTATCATACCACACAGTTATTGTGGAGATTGCTGATTAAATGTCATCAGATACTTTGGTAGATTTAGGGCAAATGATTTTGAAGTATTAATGTCTTATTCCTTGACTGAAATAAAAGTTTTGTTACTGTATTAAGTTTAAATCTGTTCTAAGAATAAACGGACTCCAATTATGTATATTATTTAATGTATTTTGAGGCAATTCGCATCATACAGTTGTTAAATAGTAAGAAACCGAATGTTGTCTAATTACCGCGGCTTACTGAAAGATACTAATCAAGTTAGTGATGTAGTCCCCACCGTAAACTAGTTTAATTTTAGTTGGTTGGAAACAATAAATGATCTTGTAAATGTTGATGAAACTTGGCGTCTGACTCTTCTAACTTCGATGGATAACTCTGTGAACAAGATAGCACGTTTGTCAAGTACAAACGTTTCTATTTGTCAGTCAACGTTTTCGTTAACATCTGACGGAAGAACAAATGAATATTTTCTAATCATAGCCTTTACAATTTTAGTTACAGTTAAAGATCAGTGGAATAATCACATGCCCTCTTTATGACATTTTTAATTAGAAGTACCTGACATAAAAGGTGATGCGAGTTCGGATACATTTGCGTTACTGGATTGGCTATCGTCAGTGAATCTCCTGTGAGAATCCCAAGCAGGCCTCGACTGTTAGTTGAGAGTCTGAAGAATGGTACAAATTTAGAAAGCAGTGTTGAAGTTGCGATATGGTTTGTGATAACCATTAAATTTACAGCTAGGGCCAAAATTTGATAATGAAATAAATTCTCCTTATTACTTTGTTTGTTCCATCAAAACCAACCACATCCAGGAAACACGTAGTCAAATTAATTTGATCGGTAGTGATGAAGAAAAATTGCTTCAGATTATTATCTTCAGTTATCTGATACGCGCAAAACTCATCCTTTCAGTTCTCCGTAATCCCCTACATTTCATAAATATAAGTGTACATATTTCTAACTTGGGAGATTAGTCTTTGAGAACATATTGAAGACATATTACGGATTTGACTGGTTTTAGTAAGACTGGTATACAAAGTGTACAACTTTAAAAGCTTCCACCTCTGGAATAAACGGAGGTTGGACAATTTCAAATTTTGTGTCAGATAATATCCGGATTCATGTGTTGTTGTCGTAGATTGGGAAGTTCCATTAATGATTGTGATATTGAAGGGATTAGACAAGAGAAGACGAAAATATTTTTAAAATGGGATGAAAAACGTTTTTTATGAAAAAAATACAGAAATCACTGGGACATAGGTACCATTCCAACTGTTATAAGGAAGACTTGGGTCTAGATTTCATACTAGATAACGTACTCCTTGCCTTAATAATGTCAGAACTTAAAAGAGACATTAGCAAAGATGGTTGATTTCATAGTTGACTCAAAAATTAGTAACAAAAGGTGATTTTTTCGTTTGTTCAAGTGAATAGTAAGTATTACGAAATGCGAAACGCTGATAATGACACTGTTATCTGTCTAAAGAAATTTCGTCCATCTAAGCTTTGAATATTTTTTGAATCCATATTTATAACCAAGTAAATATAATTAAGTTATGGATACTAGATAACCAAATTCATATATTAAGAGAGCATTTGGTCAATAATATGCTGGATGAAGTCTTACTGGGCAATTAGATACTAAGAATCATTTAACCAGTCAAGCATAAAAATGTTTATGAAAGAAAATGAGATTAAATGGATGTAACCATGACCAGTGAGAAGAAATCGAATGTTTTAAAAAATATTCAGCGCACGGCTAAGATGATTTATTACGTTCAAAAGTTTCTTTGTGTAATCGTAACCAATGTTATAATTAGTACAACTGAATAATTGGGAAATATTTCTTTATTTCATTTGTTCTCTATATGAAAGGATATAAAAATAATTATTAGTCATTAATATTTACTTAATTTATTGTTTAATTAATTTTAGTGACTGAAATAAAAGAAGAAACTACTGTATTACTTCCAACATCACAACCTCTATCATCATCATCATCATCATCATCACCACTTTCGATCACGACGATGACGACAACAATAACGATGGCTGACGTAAATGAAATGTACTCATACATGAGGAGTTCTATGGATGAAATTCAATCAAGTGGTATGTTTGCATAATCTAATTACAATATCACTGGTAATTAGATATATGTGAATTAACTTTCATCTATTTGATTAAAAAAATATACCCATTAAATCATAAAAGAATTTATTCAGCAAAGGTATCCTTTATAACAAGTTCTTTCTCAATGCTGTACAACCGTATATATGTAATAAATTCTAAGCCAATGAGTAATGGCATATCTCTCGGAATTTGATTAGGTATATTGTGAAATTAACCTACATCACTTGAATAGAGGAACTTGAGGAAACTTGTTTGATATCTATTCAGCTTATCTTTTTACGTTCAACCATACTACTTATAAATAGTAAGCAGTTCGAGTAATTGCTACCATTTTTAATGCTTGTTAACTGTGGCGAGTGGGTGATTTCTGATTCTCGTAAAGGCTAAAGAAAAATGACCACATTGAAGGGTTTATTAATATCTATGTAAAGGGCATTTCAATTTTCTTCATCTTACCTAGCTTCACTTATAAAATCTTGCTTCAATACTTTTTCATCATTAACATAGCCAACTAGATATTCGCACCAGGATAAAACTTGATAGTGAGACACGAGTTCGACGGAAACTACACGACTTTGAGGCATTTTTATTCAGTGAGAAATTTTGTTGGTATATTAGATTAAATTGTTTATCCAGAAAGTATACTTATTTTATATTTTTACAAAACAATCAAATGAGAACCGGAAAACACTAGGCAGCTGTCTTGTCCCAGTGTTTTACTCTCCAACAGCCCAAGTTCTCGATCCCTCACACGAGACTATAACCTGGGAACATCAAACTCGCTCAAAACCTTAGCCTTCAGGCTACTGAGTCGGTAACTGACGGTGTTAATGCCGAACTATAATCGATCCATGATTTTGCACAACCCTTCATCGATTGTCTTCGGTGGGTAACTGACTCACACTCGACACGGATTAGACTCCACTGGTCATGGTTTCTCAATAGAACTCCGGAAAATCCACTTTGAAGCTAGTCACGAATAAGCACGTGATTACTATCAGAATGTGGATTTGTGTATTGGAGTATTATCCATGTTGGGTGAAGACAGTTATCTACCTAAGACAATGGATGAAGAGCTGTGCAAGATCGTGAGTCGTTTGAGGCTAGACATTAACACCGTTGGATGCCTGCCCAGTGGTATAGAGGTTAAGTGTTTGCATGCAAGGTCAGAGGTCCCAGATTAAATTTCCGCGTGCGGGATCGTGGACACTTCTAAGGAGTCTCATACTAGGACGAAATGGTCGTCCAATACTCTCGGGTTTTCAGTGGTGGTCTAGCTTAGATCGAAAAATGAGTTGAACCATTAAAATTATTATTCTCCACAAATCCCTTATCTGATTACAATCAAATAAATTTTCGTTAGTACTACATCAATGTCTGGTTTGTCCTGCATCTTAAGATCATTTGTAAATATATGAAATGAAGAATACTTGAATGATCATAAAAATTCGGTACGTTGGGTAAAACTGTTTGATGATTTTAAATTGAAAGATAAATTAATTATTAGTATATATTCACAGATCGTTTCGTTAAATGAACGTTATTATTATCTGACCAGTTAATTATTCTTTTTATTCAGATGATCAATGTGAATACATAGTAGTCAAATTACTAATAAGTTGATATAGGAATTATTTATTCATTGCTTATTAAAAGTTATCTGTATTTTATTTTGATTTATATTTGATAAATCAAATCTATAAATTGAATGAGAAATTTTATTCAAAGGAAAACAATAATATTTATGTTTTAATTTATTTCAGTGAATTTTAGCAGTGATTTTATGGATACAGAACAATCATTGGCATCAACATTATCTTATGGTGAAACCATAGATACAACAACATATAGTGTAGGTAGGTTCATAAAATGTTACTATTTATATGTGCCTATGAGTGTTATATTGAGGTCTGGTAAGGTTATTTAAGTTATTTATGTTTACTTTGATAATACACATTGTCAATATTAATGTAAGATGTGATGTAAAAGATTATTAACTTTCATGGTGCTAGAATCAGCTGTTAAATTGGTATTGTGTTAAATATAAGACAATGCGCAAGGGGTTCGATCATTTTGTCGTCCATCAGAATGATTCATCAGGAACTTCGCATTTTTTTCTTGAGATTCAAGTTCTGTTGGTTGCAAAAATATTTCGTCTCAAAATGGTTTGATTGCTAAAACGTTTTGGCCATATTCATAACTAGTTAACAGGATAATTAAACTATATTCACACGACTTGTGATTTCTTTGTAAGCAAAACTGTTAGTCATAATCCAATTATTTATTGAATGTCCCACAACACCTTAAAAAAGTGAACTAAAAAGCCATACTGTAGTGAACAGAACACGGGTAGGGACAATTACAGTTACTCGGTAAAATAGAAAAACCAAATAGTAAATCGTTAATTTGCAAAATATTATTCCATCATATCAAACCAGACTGTTGCTGTTGCAATCATCAATCCATTGTCTCAAATTTCATTGTTCATGCGTTTTCTTACAAATTGCATTGTGCTTCCGCTCTTCCTTTCTTGATCTTCCCCTATCTTCTGCTACCAGACATTACGTTCTTTAACTCGCGTCACATACTACTTATATCAATATAAGTAGCACACAGTAATTAAACCTCATTACCTAACAATATTAATGGTAGTGCTGTACGGAAAAGGTAAATCTTATAGTTGTTTTTTTCATGGAAAACCTAATAATATAGAAATAAAAGTCAAACACATACTCAGGTTATTATTAATTAATTTAGCTCATATTTCAATATATGCTTTAAAAATTCAGTTCTGACTAATCAACGTGAGAAACTACAGTCCCTACTAATTATCAGCATCATTTAACAATTTATAGTTTTAGCTCTTCATATGAGTATAATACAACCACCATACACTTTCATCAACGAGGAGGATATGATAACACAGATGAATATATAGTTTGTGTAATTCTATGTATAAAACTGCACACTACGAATGTGGATCGTTAAATCTTGACTCGATGGTATAAATGAATAGTAATAATCGGGATATCTGAAAGTTCTAATTTTCATTCTGCCTACGGGTGTTGATAGACATCCCTTAAAATTAATAAACTGGAAACCAAAAATCTGTATTTTGTTCCTCATTTACCAATAGTTCTCTACTTAATGCAAACCCTCAATTAACACTGACTTCGAAAATAGATAACTGAATCCAGGTTAAACGATGTGCTTCTATGTTGTGGCTAAAAAGTTCTTATAATATACATTCGTTTGAACTTCAGTGTCATGGTATCGTTTCCTTAGCTAATAACTTTCCTTAAAATTCGTGAATCCTAGGAAACATGACCACTATCAAACTTATTCAGTTGAACTAAACATCCCTGGTAATTATTTTTTCAATGATTAAATAATTCGATTAACTTATGGCTTCAGAACAATGTAATTATATGCAGAACCGATGGAATGTTGTTAGCAGTGGAACTTAAGACGCTTGTTTCGTCCTATATGAGACTCGTCAGTTGATATTCGCTCCGAAATTTGAGTCCGGTACCTTTCACTTCGAACACTAACTCGTTCAGATAACCACTCATCTGTGAGAAAGGTATAAGACTAAACCAGTGTCCTAGGTTTCAATGGTAGCTAAATTCGTCAGTTCCATGTAACCTTGTGTCATAGTGGCTATATTGTGGCGATCCACAGATTATGCATTGATGCAAACCAAGAGTGACCAAATTTGAGTCAAAATATCATCAAAGGGATAATCCAAATCGTTTTCAATTAAATTAATTACATATTTGCTCTCACGTATGAATATGGTTGATGAATGAAAAATAAATGACCCAATCCAGTGCATATTTATTTTTAATCATTTCTTTTTTAAAGCTTTGAATTTTACAATTCAAGGAACTAATAGTTCACTAACATGGGATGATGATCTACTGAACACCACTTCAACCACTTATCAAGAACTATCTCGAAATGTTTGTGAACTAGTAAGTAAATTTTATCCTTGGAAATATTAGTAACATTTGGTTTGTTGTGATGACACGTTTAAGCGAAAGTACTGTTTCGTTGTCAGTTTTTTTCCCGACATACCAGTCAATTTTTATAAAAAACACTCATCTGACTTTAACTAGACAGTATTTATATATATTTATGATCTATAAAAGGGTTACCAAATATCTAAAATGCATATCAATAGTGTCGATGTACTTCTGTAATAATTTTTGAATTTTAAGTAACCCTAGTTAAATGTTTAGCAATTTTCAGATGTTACTGAAATACAACACACTAAGTAAATCAGCTTTGATTCCTGTACATGTTGAGTATTTATTTGATGATTACCTATGAAGAATAACGCCCGAATAATTGGCCTAGGTCAAATAAATTACGCAACTCATCTTTATGGAGTATTGCAAAACTTTTAGCTTTTATACAGATCATAAACCAACCAATGTTAGACCACCACTCGTCCTACTGCGAGATTCCTGAGCATTTCGCGTCCACAATCATGTGCTCACTAGTGACTGACTTCAAGAGCTAATTTTTGAAGTTCTAGTGGGAATCCATGACCATTGAAGTCCAATCCGTGTCGGGTATGAAGCAGTTATCCCCCGAGGAGAATACAAGACGGTTGTGCAATATCTTGGATTGGTTGAGGTTAGACATTAACGTCGTTGGATGACGGCTTAGTGGTCTAGACGTTAAGCGTTTGAGTGATTCCAAAGATCCTGAATCCGGGTCCTTTGTACAGGACATAATAGTATGAATAAACTTGAAGTAACCTTTTAGTAGTGACGCACTATAAAAACTATAGATTTTTATGTTAATTTGTGAAATACAGAATTAGTGGAGAGGCTGTCTAATTTGAGTAGTTTGTTTAAAGGAATTAGTGTTCTCTGCTAAATAGTAATGTCATGATTTACTACTGTTCATAACTCTACGGTTTGAAGATCTTAGGGCTTTAATTAACACAATTAATACATGTAAAACGAAACAGAAAAACATTTCTCAGTTACATTTACCTTTCATGACAGTGAATCTCAACGAAGCTACATCACTTTAGAGCTCAAAATTTCTATGGATTTGAAGAATATCGGGTGAAAAAAATTGTTTCATTTTTTAGTATTCAGTTATGGAGATTATTAAGTTGTGATCAAGATTATTTGTGACTTTTTACAGATTTACGAATAACTGAAGGATAAAATAATAGAGCAATTCATCCTTAGCTAAAACAGAATGTAAAATATTCTCATTTTAGTGGTTTTATTCGAGTTCAATACAAAGTTATTTTTAATAAAACTTCTATTTGCAAGAGCCTTGTAAACGCCAATAGAATATCAGACAATGAAATTTTAACCATTATTTTAGAACTATAATTAAATGGTTACACAAACGATTTTGTTGTGTATAGCAAAAGTGGATCATTGTAAATCTAAAGTCTTTATTTAAACTAAAACTCAATTGAGTTATGAGATTTAAACTCTAGGTGTAGCAATGTATATTTACGTTTAAACGATAAATAGGGATGGAAAATATATTATAATATTGTTAATCAATCTCATCATCATATGATGAGACCACTGATTTTTATTGAGGACTAGTCGTTGGCTCAACTCTAATGATTATTTCACAACCATGAACCGTCATGTGATTCAGTTATTATGGACTAACCACTCTAAACTATGTATAGAGAGTAAGTGTTGACCATTTGTTTACCTTAAACAATTTGATCCAATATTGTTATTGCTTATTTGTTTTATATTAAGATTTCGTAATATAAATAATGTTATCCCTATTAGTGTCATTATTCTTTGCTACGCATTTAACTAAATGAAGTAACAATCAACTTACCTATCAGAGTTAACAAAGATCAGCCCAAATCCAAGTGATAAACTGCTATCACAGTCTATTCATCAGTTATTGTCTTTTTATTGAACCTCGAAAGTTTACCAACAAATTACAAACTTGAACAGAATTTCATTGGTGACAGAATAGTTTCTAAATTGAAAAGGTCTTAAAGTAAAATTGTTACAAAGCGTAGCAATAAAAGAATATAATCTATGGAAAGTAGATAAAATAATTAATATTAAGCCATTATTAGTGATATTACTTCACCTTTACGTAATATGACAATTATTAGAACAGTGTTTCTGACTTCAGGTGCATTTAGATTATCTAGGAACACTTAATTTTATATAAATAATTCGATAAGCTATAATTATCGATAATAATTCATTCATATGCAAAGATGGGTAGTGTCTAGTAGCGGAATCCAGTACGCGCGTTTCATCCTATATGGGACTGGTCAACTGGATGTACTTGCATCTGAGTCGATGATCACTCTGATACGCGAACCCAGTACCGTTCGTTCCAAAGGCCATCGCGTTATCCACTTAGCTACTGAGTCGTGGCAGCCACTTGCTTGTGAAACGGGGTGAAGTTTAAATTCACTTGGCATTGTTTTACTTGAATCTTCCCATTGATGTTTAGGACTGAAATTGATCAGTCTCTTATTGGCATATGTGCATACTGTGCGTATTGCCTCGATATTGCCTTAATTTACAAGCATTATAAGCAAAGATGGATAGTGGCTAGCAGTGGAATCCAGAACGTGCGTTTTTTAAGAGAACGGTACTGGGTTCGAGTCTCAGAGTGAACATCAACTCTGAGATGCAAGTACATTCAGCTGACGAGTCCCAAATAGGATAAATGCGCATCCTGGATTCCATTGAGAGCCACTATCCATCTTTGCTTATAATGCTTGTAAATTAAGGCAATATCGAGGCAATACGCACAGTATGCACATATGCCAATAAGAGACTGATCAATTTCAGTCCTAAACATCAATGGGAAGATTCAAGTAAAACAATGCCAAGTGAATTAATTAATCCATACATTTTAATAAATATCAGATTACAAAAGTTTTGTCTGTTGACAGAATACGTTTTTATGCTTTAAATGAATCTCTGAACTTAAGATATACATTTTATGAGTGATAATAGACTGAATATTATAGTTTATTACCAATGTGTTGTTCGGTTCCCATTCTTAAGAAATGCCAAATATTTTTTGATTAATCATGAGCCGACCTCTGATTAGCTTACTGTATCAGCTCTTCCTCCTGCAAGAAATACGTTTGACTGTACTAATTAAACAAGGTGATGCATCAATTAGTGTAGGGTTAGATTCGTCGCCAAATATATGCAAATCTTAACAAATATTTCAATAAACGGTCCATAATTGCAAATTAGATACGATATTCTATATAAGAAGTATAAGTTAACACACCTGCGATACGTTATAGTTTCTTATTTGACCTTATCATGAGCCTACATGACATTTACGGACTAACATAAGTGTGATACTATGTTCAAGTCTCTTGGAAAAACTAATTTCACCAGTACATTATAAAGAAATACTATATGAGATATTGGACAAATACTAAACAGGATAAACTCAAGAAGATCCAGACATAACTTCTAATGATAACTCATATATAAGTCAGAAAGCGATACAATGAAATTTCCAGTAGTGAAATTAGTTTCACTGTGAACAATATGATGTTCAGTAAAGCAAATGAAAATAGATCAAGTACATCACCCTCAACTAAATCAATCATTTATTTGTGATCCTTCTGTTACATATGGAATATTTAGTAGATATATTAAAATTATTTAAAATAATTAACAAACTATAATTATTTTCTAAGGAGATTCATACATTTTAAAATAACACTGTGACTACAATGTGTTATTTACACCCAAAAATGTTTTGAAAATAGAAAGATGTAATTTGAATAATCCGATTTCTATTTATCCGTTGATATTCAGTGAACAAGATCACCAGTGGGGACAATCGAATGTGTTTAACACAAAATTACAGAACTTGTTAATAAAATCTAACAATCATAAAGTAAATGCTTAATTTGCAAAATGTCCATCAATTGTCTCAAAATGACTCAGACTTCATTATTCTTGCATTCTCATACAAATTGCATTCTATTTCCATTCTTTACTGTTCGATCCTCTTGTTTCTCTGCTGCCAGACCTTCTGTTCACGACTAATATCATCTACTACTCATGTCAATATAAGTAGCACACACCACAGATACAATTCATACGGTTTCACTTAAGTTTCTAATATCCGACTTTGTTAAAAAGCAGTATGTATTGTGTATACAATTCAAGAGTTATTTATCTAATAACTTATAAAGTGCTTCATCAAAATTCTTCAGTTTATTGTTTTCTAATTAAAGATTAATTTCTTAGTTTTCATTTGCTAATACTTAAAAACTTGAGTGACGTAACGAATTTTTCCTGTGAGTCGTTATGGAGATTACAATGAGATACGACTGATTTGTTGTATTCTAAATAAGTTGTTATTGTTTTTTGTTTTGTAATGGAAACTAATTAATATTATCAGAAAGAATTAAACGAATCAGGCACATCTAGGATTGGGACAAACATTGAAACGTGATATATTTAAGTATTAGTATTAATTTAAGTAAAACTATGTGTTCACTAATGGCAGTTATGTTTTTTTTATTACTACAAAAATCGTCCAACCAAAAAAGCAGTCGGCTTTTGATTGATTACTTTTACTAGTTGACGTCTATCAGCTTCAGAACGAAGACCTGTAGTAAAACACAGTGTGTTATCGACAGATGTTAAGAATCTTATAATGGTTCCTGGAAAACTGCAAAGTTCGATGATAGAATGTGTTTTTGATATGAAAACACTAGGAAAATCTGTCGATTGTCGGAAGTTGTTCTATCCAAAGCTACTGACAACGAAAAATGCGATATTAACGTCAAAATATGTAAGGTTTGAACCGTTTATTGTAGGACATATAGGAGTATGATATTCCAATGATATTCTTTAGTAGCATCACTGATGATTATTATCTGCCTTGTACACCAGTAAGCTGTCGTTAAAATCGTAAACATTGAAACCAGACTAGGTCTATGTTTAAGTCTACATTTTCTTTGCCTATTAATAGACAATCAAATGGATTCAACCCATTGTCCATTTTTGTCGGTCTCTATAAAGCAACATTTTCAGCTGTCATGCAAATGACAAAGGAAGATTCACTAGATATAACTTCAATGATTTAAATAAAGAAGACACGGAAAAGGAAATTTCACAAATGGAACAAGCTTTCATATAAATTGTTACGTCAAACTGTTGGAAATAATTTAAACAAACTACATGCTACTTATTTGCATCATGTTAATTACGTGTTCTAATTCAGAGAAAGAATAAATCCCACTTAAAACGATTAAGTGTGAGTAAAGTCTTCATAAGTGAAAGAAAGTTCTTAATAAATATCTATCCTGCAGATTAAAGTACTCAAAAGAATGTAAAAACTGTTATTTAAAAGATATATCTACTGAGAAGTATATTCATTTATTTAATATCGATAAATATTTTTAAATAAAACTTTTAGCTTTTAGCAGCTATGAGATCAATTTTATCATCTCTATGGATTGTTGAATGTGGTACCATAAAATTCAGAAAAGGGTCCATTGACGTTGATGCTGAGCTTATTTTAATAGCGAATTCATCATCATTTGTTACAACACTTGAACCTACATCAACTGTGTTAAATGATACTAATATAATCAAAGGAATAAATGAGTATGTTTCAACTGTGGATCAAAATAATACATTTGGAATTTACATTGATCCAAATTCAAGTATCTCATTATCATGTAAGTCATTGGAAAAATTTCCAAAAGGTAATATATATATATATATATATATATATATATATATAAGTCTATATTTTTTCGATCGCATTCGAGTTGGCTGCACCCATTTACCTAGATCTGCTATTTTAGATCCTCATAATTTGAAATAATACACTGTATTTTATCTATACTGTGAGGTAAATTATATACGATATTTTAAAATATCATATAACCCTACAAAGGCGATACCTGTTAAAATGAATACATTATAAATAATTAAGGAATAATAATATCCGAGGGGAAATTAGCTGGTTGAATATATCAGCAACTTCTTGAAATTTTGGGAATTTTTGATAATGAGGCTACACTGACCACATGTTGAATTTCTTACCAATTTTTCTGTCAAGTAAATATTCTGTATAATAAAGTAATGATTTACAGTTGATTATCCTTTTTGCATTGTTCTGTCTTACTGCGCTTTACTTTTCTTAGTTTAGTCCTAAAAGCAATAGAAAATATTAAATATTTTTATATTTCGAGAATGTAAACTAAATTTCTAACACTACAACAAAAGAAAACCCATCAATCAATAAATTAACAAGATCTTACGTTGCTTGCTCTTAGTATATAAACTTTAGAAAGAAGGCGGATTTTATCTCTACCTAAGTTTATGTCAAGGTCTTTGTAAATACTAGTAGATACTTCAAGAACGATCACTATATAGGTCTAGTCATTTGGTCGTATTATCTACAGTTATTGTCAGAACATCATTTCAGCCCGAAGTGATAACGGAAGCACAAATGTGTTAAACGCCTAAATAAATTATTTTTGATAGGTGGATGAACTCACTTGTTGTTAACAAAATTAACGGTATATTTGCTTTTTATAAATAATTTCTAAAGTCGCGATAACTGATTAACAAATCCTGGAAACATTAGTTGAAGTTGTTAGATATCAATTTAGTCGTTTATTCATCCAGAAAATATTATTTGTGCATAATAATTATTTGTTCTCCTTACACTACATTTTTGTCGAGGTCAATGTTTGGCATCTAGTTATGCTTAAATTAGGTTACTCTTCATAAAATCTACTTATTGATAGACTAAATGGATTAAAATTATTTGAAATAGAGGTCCGTGATTATTCGCACATGTACGCTATGGTGAATGCTACAATGGATTGCAAATATTTTCTCATTTACTGCAAAAATGGGAGTTACTGAATAAAAATATGTGAGCTATTCCAAAAGACGAGAGTATGATTTTCCTTGAAACATTAGAAAGCAAATCAAATGATACTTAAAATAAGAACTTATTTAATCGATAAGATTGTGTTATGATACATTATTTCTGAAGCTCTATATGAGCTATTTTGTAACAGTAAGTATGTTCCCCTGGTTTAGCGATCTCATGAAGGATTGATAATATGCAAATGAAACTAAGAAAAGTTTTGTACAGACAAATGTGAGAAATATGGTTAAACTTCTTTATTCATTTCATTTCACAAACAAAATGAATTGTTGGTAAATTTTAAGAAAGCACCTCAATCAAATGAAATTCCTATTTACTGGTGACAGTTAGCAAACATTTAGATGAGCCATTTAAATAGATTGCATAAGACCGTATTCTTGACTGAAATTTAGTTTTCATCCCTGGTAAACCAAGATATCTGAATTTTCTGTCATTAAGCTAATTTGAAAGAATTTGTGCAAAGCAACTCTTTAGATCAGATCGATCAATCCAAGTGGTGATAAGTTACTCTATTGAGTTTGCATTGACATTATCTCAGTTACCCTCCCTGTAATCTACTGATCTAGATACAGTACATATTGCAAAGTTGAATGAATAATCGTTAGGTAGCCATACCAACTAAATAAGTCAAAGGATTAATCGAAAAAATGTTGACTCTGGGAGTTATTTTAGCACGCTTAGAGCATGACCTGTCAGGAGTACATCCTGACTATTTCAACTGAGATAATAATAACTTAAACTACGCAAACTCTGCTTATCCATCTGAGTGAATGACACGTGGAATTGTGGTAAGTATTTTGAAAATTTACAATTCCAAATGAGAAAAACATAACTCAGGAATAATAAACATAATAAATAAATTTTTTTTATATCCATATGAGTAGAAAAGTTGTAATTCCTGCATTTCGTGACTTAATGTAAGCCACTTGTTCAGAGCAAATGAATAACCATATTATGGTTATTTAAACTACTAGGCTGTTCGAACTCATTCAGTCAGAGTTCGGTCAAAGAGAAGTGAAATAAACGTTTGGTGTTAAGAATACTTCAATTTAACAACTAAGGAATGTTATTTAAGTTTTTTATTTACTTACTGCTTGACATGATATCATGATAGCTTTCATGTGGGTGTTCTTGCAAGTGATATATGGATATGTACATAATCAGTGGTCTTAAATTAACTAACAGTTAAATATAACATTTGTATACCTTTATCTAATTTATTTCTTATATTATCCTGTAATTGTTTACATTGTTTAGTGATAACGATAAGTATGGAATCAACAATACCGTATGACGATCAGGTTATATCTGATGTCATATCATCTGAAACATCTTCGTCTTCAGATTTCCCAGTTAGTGTGTATTCAACAAGTACAGGTTAGTCATTGTTCATTTAAAATAAATTAATTATTCATAGTAAGCAGTTTATCAGATTAAAGGTTTGATGATCCATGAAATTGAGATCATTACATAGTAAAAATCAGTACCTGGATTCTGAAATAAAAAAAATCAAACTCAAAGGATGCAAATAAGTTGTCATTCTAATTCTAGGATACAAATCCTTTTTGTTGAAGGCTAGATTACTCGGCTCTTAGATGAAGAAAAGCAATGCAGATTGCATGATGAAAGAATTTATACGTTAAATTACACAACAATAACTAATCAATAAATTTCAACATGTCACTATTACTTCTTCTATACTACTGAATTCAATAGTCAATCATTTAATTAAATTTTGCGATGTCATTTGGATAAATTGTGATAACTTATTATTCTTGTTTATTGTCAATAACAATTTAAATAAAACATAATACTTCTGAATTATACTTTTCACTGCAACTGGATATTTTAAAAGACAATCGATTTTTACCAAAAGAAAACCTAAATCAAACAGATATCCTGTACTTTTGTTCTATTATTAACTTTCTATGAAGCATAATCAGCTTATCAAACATGAGTTTCTTGTGATTTCATGACTATTTCTAACATTTATTATCATGAAAATCAATAAATTCTAAGTTACTATAAGGCTCATTCAACCGGTGAAAAACTAAGTTCTGTGTGAAAGGTTTCGAATTGTGTTCATATTATTATTATTATTATTATTATTATTATTATTATTATTATTATTATTATTACTCTTATGATTATCCTTATCTCCTTTTACCCCGTTTCCAGTCTAGTTGACCTTTTATTTTCATATATAAATGCTCTTAACAAGTATATGTGTGATCAGATTGTTCGAAATGTATTGCGCTAATACATCACATAGTTCTGATAATCTTCGTCCTCTAATTACATTATCGAAATATATATATATATATATATATATATATATATATAATGTTGGATGGTATACTAAATAGTTATTACATTTATTCATAGTTCATCTAAGAACAAAAATAACTTCCCAATATGAAAGAATAATTTACACAGACTGAGCAATAATACACTCATGTAATTAAAGCACAATACCATATGAAATAATTAGAAGAAATCCTTAAAATTTCATAAATCATAGCACTAATTGAGTTATTATCAATAACTAAGTGCCAACAAAGTTTAAACTATGACTCGTTGAAAAAGACTAGATTTATATAGAGAAGTAAATCATTACAACATAAAATAAAGAAAGTAATTAGTCTGAACGTATTCAGATCTGAAATAACATCAAATACAACTTACTTACTTACTCACGTCTGTTACCCCTCGTGGAGGAGCATAGAACGCCTATCAGTACTCCCTATCTAAACTTGTCCTATGCAATCCTTTCCAGCTCTTTTCAATTGTTATTCATTCTTTTCATATCTGTTTCTATTTCCCGACGTAATGTGATATTTGGCCTTTCTATTTTCCGCTTCAGTTTTATGATTCCAACATCAAATATATATTTAAAAATATTAACTATGATAACAATAAAAAATAAATACGCTTAAGAACACAAACGTAAAATTATCCGAAAGTAAAGAAAGAATAAGTGAGAAGTTAAAATAAAGATAACAACAAAAAACATATAGACAATGAGGGAAATAGCAAAAAAAAAACTTTAACATAATGAAATTCATTCAAAGTGAAGTACTGGACACAATGAATAACATATTAAATATTGATTTTAAAAAGTGAAAGAATAAAAATCTACAAAATTCAAAAACGATAAAATTAACTCATTAACAGAATGATTCTTAACCTCAAAAAAAGGAAGAACAAAAACGGAGGGAGAATAAGAAAACTGTTCGGAAAAATAAGGAAGAAAACAAAACAAAACGGAACAATGAAAAACGAATTGATGAAGCAATCGAGAAGGAAAAAACACTGAAAGAAGTAGTGCAAAAACGAAATAAGCGAGATGAAATTTAAAGTCGAAAATCTTTAATAAAACAAGTAGAATGATTATCGAAACCAAGATAGATACTGATAACACCACAACGATAACAATCTTCACAACATCCACTATTTCCACACTTAAGTTCGTCACCTGGCCAACAGCATCATCGTTAATGACGTCAACACAACCAGTAGTGTTGCTACCAACAGCACCGGAAAATCTACACCCACAATGTCAACACATATCAGCACGACCAACATTGCTTTTACCAGTGCAGTCACAATGACCACACCGTTCATTGGATCCACAATACCAAAGGAGATAATTTTCATCGCTGATCAACATATTCCAAGTGTGCTGTAACTTGTCATTCCATCTGTTTTTGTATTTACGTCCACGTCTACAATGCACATTTTTTATTCCACTGACGTGGTTCATAGTTCCGTTCTTGGGATTTCTCATACGTATTTATTTGCTGACTCCGATATTTTCTCGCCTCTTTGTTTTGATGTCTCATCAGTTGATGATCCCTCATTTTCGAGCTCTGTCTTCTCCTATCTTATTCTTAGAGAGTTTCTAGTATAATTTTTATACCTACTATTAACATTGCTAGACCTTTTATTAATCATTTCATTTTGTTTATTTTTCAGGCGATGTTTCTCCATATGATTCAGGTATGTTTAATATTTTTGCTAGTTTGGTTCTTAGTCTAAATCTCCTTTATATTTTAACAGAATATCTTTTTACTTCACTTTGATCATTTCTACTATTCTCGATAATTTTTTTGAGTTTACTAATTAATCTCATACTGAATATAGCGCCTAAATTTTGCAACTAATATATCATTTTGCTTTATTAAGGTAACCTACATTCTTTTAGCGAAAAACCAGCACTTGTGAATATTAAATCAGTATTATTTTCATGTGTTAAGTTGACCTGGTTGTTGTTTCTTTGTCATCTTAACGGCAAATGACAAGTTTGCAAAAGATGCTTGATTATAGCACTTCTTATTGTTGATGTATAAATGAAGTAATTTATGCCGAAAGCAGCTTCTATCGCGCAAGAAACTTTCTGGAGTTATTAAGTCTGCAGTTCGTCAAGTACTTTGTGAAACATTTTTTCTCCTCATACCTCAGAACCTCCATATTCAGTATGAAGTCAGCAACTGAAAATTTATATTAATGATTAGTTATTATATTTTAGTAATAATCAGGCAATTAAAGGAAAAGTTCCTAAGAATAATTACTTAAATGTTGGAGCCAACCTCAATTCTATCGCGTGAGATCGCACGTTTTACTCTATCAAATTAAGTGAAACATTCACCATATGTTTACTATAAGTGAAGATTTATTCATTCAGGCCAGAAAAAAGTTTTACTGAGAAACTGACGATGAAGAAATGGCAGTCAGACATCATGAGATGTTAAAATATAGTCTGTAGAAGGGAGAAATATATATGGAGTATAAATAACGCTCTTCGTAACTTTCATAATACTTTTAACGTACTTTTATAGAAATTGTGTATACTTTCTACTTATTCATCTAATTTAAACTTCGTTATTAAAAGAGGACTATGGTAAAATGTTAAACCATAAAACAATAAAATACTTTTAAATTAAGGTGGATGAAAACTTATAATCGATTAATTGTTCAATGGACATTAGGTCATAGAGTAGCATAATATATTTCATTGATGTCGGGAATCGAATTCTTTCAATATATCTGATTGCACCAATATCATATCGCAAATTGTGCCACGACACATTTGCTGCAAGGTTTTGGTTGATGATGATTGACTGACAAGGTGATCTAATCTAGTTTATTACACCGTCATATAATAATGAAGAGACACATTAATGTGATGAGAAACTGGCTGGTGAAATATGTTTAATTTAGGTCGTATACAGAAATATGTTGAATGCAAAGGCGAATCTACAGAAGCGATTAGAAAATTGGAAATCATTAGAAACAGACCTGATGTGAGCAGTAGATTATGTGAAGTGACCTGATTGAGGCATTCAGTGATTTGACCTTCTATTCACTCCAAATTGTTTACTCCTGAATTCACGTTTTCATCATTTGTGTGCTTATCTAAATTCAAGTTCCTCTCTCCAATGTTTTGTGTTTGTGTTTCTGCTTGTCTATCTGCATTGCATGTAACCAAACTCCATGTGTTCTTTTAATGAAAATTTTCTTCGTTATCTACTTAAATGTTTTATAGAAGGCAACCTCACGAAAACAGTAGTAATCGGTAAGTCAAAATATGATATAGCAGTTTGTTTTGTCACACCAATTTATTTTCCTGATTGATTGTTTTGATTCTGCTTTCCATTTCATTCATCAATATGTGGTCACATTGCATTACATAAACGGTTGGGTGAATTGTTCCTCTTGGAAATTCAGTGTAGCGAAGAGATGTCACATATAGTACGCTCATATATTGAAATTATTTGTCAATCAGTATTTATTGTTGAGTTTCTCAGGGTCGTCTGGTCGCGTTGGCCACTATCTATGTTAAACCGGAATGATTCATAATCTTTCCAAGTGGAACAATTTAATTGTATTCGTATAAAAGCTAACAAGTACTGAAATTTACTGTAACTGTGGAAGTCACGTTACATTTGTTTGCTGAGCGTCACTTCACTCACAATATTGCTACACTTATTAACCAATGTGTGTGTGTAGAATTCTTTATTTTCATAACAAACCAAGAGCATATCGCATTCAGTGTGCATGGATGTGGGAAATCAAACAACCATTTACTTCATAGTGTCCATCACTTTGATAGATCATAATCGAATACACTTGGATTTGTGGTGTGGAGTTGAAGAGAGGTCGTTCAGTTTTGTTTTGTTGTGCAACAGTAAGTCAACTCAATATTCTCCTTTCACTGAGAAGTCGGATTTAAATCAACGAACTTTGACTTGTTGGAAACTATTTAATTTCTTTTGTAGCAGTCTCATCAATGCTGACTAGATTGAACAAGTCTTTGGAGTGGAATGACAGTTTATTGGATCCTAGTTCCGATTTATATCGAAATTATTCAGCTGAAATTTGTAATTTGGTAAGTTTGTTACCGAGTTCTCAATTGAATTTACATAAAAATGAGTAAAACTGATTAAATGTATAGACAACCTGTGTCTTTTGATAAAGGGTTGAAGTTTGACATTTGAAGACGGTTTTTGGAAATATATGTAGCTATTTAATAGCTATTTATAGAAGACAGAGTACTATTTAACTGTTTTCTCTAACTGTGACGAATAGTACCTGTAGAAATTCAAGATGTTGTTTGGGTAGATTCCATGATCATTGTTTTATGCAATTATGGATTTAACTCGTCGTGGTTAATGGTGTACGTTCTTCACCATTTACCATGTAGATCATATCTCGTTTTACTCTACACAAACTGATGCAGTCTCAAAACACTCTATGGTCTCCAATCACTATATTGTTGCAATCAAATAAAGGCGAATGTGCTTGTTTCGTTTGATTATGCATAGCATAATTACCAGAAGTGGTCAACATGCACGGGCACGATCCTGTAATGGATCAGTCGTTTTGATATTGTAAGTAGTGACAACTGAGGTTACCCAGTCGATAAATATATTTGCTAATCCACGAGTTTGGAAAACCAATTTGTTCTCCTTCCACGTGAATGTAAAACTTCGGTGCTATAAAACTCCACCAAACTACTTGTTCGACATTCATACAACAATGATTTATGCCGATGAGCTAATTTCATCTAACCTAACATGAATGGCACCATGGGGTAGCCTCACTGAGCTAAGTGGCAGTATAGCACCATATGCCTGATGTTATACATTGTGATGTCGCATTAACTATCAACTGCGACTAACTCATTTATTCATTCATTACTGACTATTCCATTGAAAAGCCACCGCTCACATTTCTGTGGCTTGAGATGCTGATTGATATCATGTGCTAAGGTTACCAATCGGAATTCTAACTCTAATTTCTTTTCCATTCCGTGTTTACTATTTCCTCCATGACCCAGTGTCCAAGCAATGACCAACCACAGGCATGACCCTCACCGTCCACCTTGTGGCGATGCAAGCCAAGCTCCTATTTTTCCGCTACTCGTAAGTCCTTCTTTGCCTTCAAACTTGAGTCAAAGAGAGAAGTCAACAGACGGCCTCTATCATTCTTATACTTCAGGCATACGTGGAATCATATACAGTCGTGCTGGACCACATCGCACCACTGAGTGAAAAATCACAAGCATACATAGACAAGCCGAAAGTGTTTGTGAATAATGCAAGCCGTAAGTAGTAGACTGGCAAAAATCTGGGAGTGGAGAGTTGTCTATCAGTGGTTAACGGGTTAACCAAAAGCTTGTGGTTAACGTATTATATAGACACAGTAATCCAGTTGCTTAGTAATTATATAAGAAAAACATAGTTGATAGCAATAACAATATTCATGATAACGATTCAAAAACCATTTTCCAAATTTCCAACTTTTACAATATTCATCCCGTTATAACACGCACGATTTTCTTCTCACAAAATCTTCAAGCTTTTGGACAGCATATATTCAACTAATATTGAGGGAATAATCAATGTTAATTGCACAGTTGTTGGCTTCTCGCGTGGATCAGTTGTTGGAAATGCAGTATTAGTCATCGACCATAGTAGCACAAGTGGGAATTTCTCATCGACTGAAGTGACAAAAGACACTGTTCGAAATGCTGTTGTGGCATACATAGCAGAAATGGTTGCCAATGGGTCGGAGCAAGTGTACTTCGATACATCAAGTGGCTTGACAGTAGAAAGTGAGTGCATGTGATATTTTCGAGCTATATTGAAATTGAATTTTGTGTTTAACGTCGGTTGAATAAACCAGTTTATCCTGCGAGTTGAGCGCCACGTTCTCAATGCATCTTGGAAGTTGATGATAGGGGAATCCGACACCGGAAGCGAACGTTGTAGGATTCAACTGATTATTTCTCACGTTAAATATCACCTGCATAACAATTAGCATGCATGTATGATGTGATCATCTATTAGATGCTCTTAATTTTAGTTCATGAAACTGTTTGGTCCTATTTCAAATTTGTTGTTCTAGAGAGACAATAGAAATCTGTCTTATCCTCAGTCACTTGTATAGGACCTTTCCATATATGCTGTTTGATATAGAATTCCGTTTACATTTTAAAGAGTCTTACAGTTGGTGAGATCACAACACACGACGAAATGGAATGTTCAGTGTTCGATCAACGAGGAAATGGAATTGTTCACAAGTTTGAAAAACAACTCCATCACTTGCAAACCATCTGCAGCGAAAGTGTCTCGACTTCATTTACTGTCAAATACCTAGTCGCCTGCCATGGCTAGCAGCTAATCATAATCAGGATTAATTGTCATGTATACTCAGCTTTTTGTGACGTGAATAGATACACGTTTCTCATTGTATTTTCAGCTGTAATCGATGTGGCAACCACTGAGGTGATCACTGAATCTCAGAATACCGAAGATAACAAGACTACGGGTAAGTAAGTGGTTTGCAATTTTTTCACTGAGTCGATAATATACTCGAGAACTTATGTCTTAAGATTGCAAATTGTACGAGTAAAATACTCTGAATATTCACTTTTGTGAGTTGATTCTTCGACCAGTAATTTTGACTGAAGTATTATTGAGATAATCTTCCTCAGATAAAAGAATATGGAGTGACAGTAAATTAGTTAGAAAAATCCAAAATATCATATATCAGTATTCGCGACAACGCAGAGATGTTTAAAGTATGTGTAAGGTCCCCATATGACATAAAATTAAAGATGTCACGAGTAATCAGGGTGTCGGAATGTAAGGCAGTACATTTAAAAAGTAGATAAGAACGATTGATAAATCGAATAGATATATTAAGAACGAATTAAGATGATGTGTATGTATGAAAACACATAGTGAAAGCAGCGAGTTATGCTTCACGTGGAAGAAATTAACAAACGCTAAATTACTTCAAGTAGATAAACGACATTTCGGGCAGTAATGGAAATTCATCCATAATCAAGTTCGCGTTCCTCATTATCTGCTTTTATGTCGAAAGTACAAGGAGATTGCTTCAAATGTAAAATCAGAAATAGTGAGGATCAACAACCAAAGAATAAAAACAAATGGTAAATAGTAGAACAATCACTAAATTGACGAAACATCAATTGAAAATGAAAATGTGACCGTGTGATTTACATGTAAGGAAGAAACTGTAGATAGAAACATCGAGAGAAAATGAAGTTCGATAAATCGCTGAACTATTTTGAAAACATTAACAATTCTGAAGTTGAATAAAAGTGTACTGAATTCAAAGACACAAAAATTTGGGAAAACATAGAAAGAAGAAAACAGAAACATGAAAGAAACGAACTGACAAATCAGAGAAAAATTAAAACAAGAGAAAGAGCGAAAGTAGAGCAAAATAAAAAAGATAAAAATAAACAAATCACAAAAGACAAGAAAGTACGTATTCGTGAAAACCAGGTCCCAAAGAATTAATGTATGATCGTATGGAGGTATGATTCAAAGATGGAGTGACTGATGGATTGATTGACGTCATCATCGATTGATGGAATAATTGATTGATTGATTGATAGATTGCTTGATTGATTGATTAATTATTGGTGTTGGATTTCGTCCATTGTAGCTGAGACCACTACTGGCACGAACGAAGTGACGACGGAGACCGAGATTACGGAGACCGACACTACGGGAACTGAGGTTATGTTGACGGAGAGTACAACAGGTGAGTGTGTTAGTTGATTGTGTGTATGCAATGTACGCAGTGTTGTTTGTGTGAGATGTGTTTGAGTTAGTTGTGCACAGAACTGATACTACTGGTGATTTGGTGGATTGCATATAGTGCTCTCGATTGAACGGATTTGAATTAATTTGTGTTCGTGTGTGTGTGTGTGTGGGTGAGTTAGTGTGGGATTGTCTGATTTATTGATTGATTGAGTCAGTGAGTGAGTGAGTGAGTGTGTTTGGGAAGGAGAGTGTGAGATAGTGTTTGAGTGTGTGTGTGTGTGTGTGTGTCTGTGAATGATAATGTGTGTTGTGTTGACTTAGTATTTGGACAAGTGGATTGAATTGTTGATGGAGAGAATGCATGGGAGACTGATTGGATGAATGTTTTGATGAGTGGTTGTGCGAGTGTTTGTAGGAGTGTTTGTAGGAGTGGTTGGACGAATGTTTGGATTGTTGAAGGTTTAATCTATTTGACAGATTGATCGATGGATTGATTGATTGATTTGTTGATTTATTGAATGATCGACTGATTGATTGAAGGACTGATGTGATGATTGATTGATGGTGTTATGACCTTGGATGGCTTTTACCCCGTGATACTTGTATGACTTGACCTTGACGCGCTAGGCTGAGTGGCTTAACCTTGAGTCTAATACGCGTGAGTTCGATTGGGGGTAGAGAGAACTATTCTAAATCCTGATTGGTTGGCAAGCACGCGAGTGAAAGAAGACAAGACAGTTGGAACACTAAACTCTGGATTCTCTGAATTCAGATTACTACAAAAATGTACATGAATAAATAAGTGCATATCTTGACCACGACGTAGGATAATTTGGAAAAATACAGTTATGCCCGAAACAGGGAATTAGGGTAGAAAATATAGTGCAAAATATAATGTTAAAATTAAAATATTTTTGGAACAAAAAAAAGGTATGCTAGTGAATGATACATAGAACGAAAGCTCGTGTTAAGTAGAATAAGATAGGGACAAAAATGAATATAAGTGTTTTACAGGTTTTGAATGAAATGCAATAACGTCCCAAGAAAATAGCTTTCGTAATTGTCTGGGCTTCTTAATTCCCCGTTCATAACACCTTCCCCCTTAAAAAAAGAGAAAAAAAATATGGTTAGTTACTTTATACAGGTAAGTGCTGAGATATCATCATTGATATCTTCCTTCGGAAACGTATGTTCTCCTCTTTGGGTCTACCTGTAGAATATCTGGTCTTCTGCGTTTCCGTGATGCTTTCCTAATAGGACCTTGTTCAGGTTGCGTGGTCTTTTGAGTCGCTGAGCATTTTATGTCAAAACTGTCCAGAATGATTCTCCACATTGAGTCTAATTTCTCGGTTTTCTGTGAAGTGCCAGCATTTTCCAGTATGTGGTTAACATGGCGTGTCCACTTCTGTCCTTCAACTTCCACCACATACATTACGTTCCCTTGTCTCTTAAGTATGCGTCCACTGGTCCATTGTGGAGGTGAATATCGGAAATCGCGGACGTATACTTTTTGATTTCTTTGGAAAATTCTGCGTTTTGCCCCATGATGGCGATTAAATTGGTTTTCCATCTTTCTGTTTCTTTTTCCGATGTCTATTTGCTGTGGTTTTATGGCATCGAGAGCAGTTCTTACTTTTCTACCAAACATAATTTCTGCTGGGGACATTTGATTTGGTGTTGATGGGTTTGGAGTTGTTCTATAGACCAAGAGGAAGTCATCAAGAATCTCCTCTATCTTCCCCTCCCCTTTTGCCTTCAGTAGCGCTCTTTTGAAGGTATCTACAAACCTTTCGGCCTGACCATTCGATTGTGGATGGTACGGAGGTGAACGGACATGTTTGACTCCAAACCTCTTGCAGAAATCTGAGAAGATGGAAGAAATAAACTGAGTGCCGTTATCTGTCACGAGGACATCTGGAACTCCAAAACGGGAGAATAACTGCCGTAGCTTCATGATAGTCTGTTGCGAAGTTATTTGATTTATAGGAAAAATCTCCGGCCATTTTGAATAAGCATCAACACAAACGAGGAAGTACGTACCCTGGAATGGGCCAGCGAAATCAACATGTATACGCGACCAGGGTTCTTCTGGAGATGGCCAGGAATGTAGTTCAGCTTTTCGTGAACACTTAGAAACCTCAGCACATTTTCTGCACGCACGCACGAAATCTTCGATGTGTTCATCGATATTAGGCCAATATACATAACTCCGAGCAATAGCTTTCATTCTTCCAGTACCTGGATGGGCTGTATGCAGTTGTTTCAGGACGAGTGAGCGTAAGTTATACGGAACCACTACGCGATCAGCAACCATAATACAGTCATTTACGATGGATAAAGATTGGCGTCGTTGATAATACTGTTTCAGCTCATGAGATGTTATACGTGGGGGCCAACCACGCTGGATAAATGTAGATAATCGTCTTAAGATAGGATCGCGGCGAGTGTGTTCAGCGATTCGAGCAGCTGTCACTGGAAGAATTTGTGTTGAATTAAACAACATTCTGCTTACATCTTCTTCCACTGATATAGAAGCGATAACAGTATCTTCGTTTTCAAGTTTATGATTGCTTATTAAGCGCGATAATGCATCAGCATGGCCAAAATCAGAGGTAGATTTGTATTTGATAACGAAATCATAACCCAATAGCATTGTAGCCCATCGTTGGAGGCGGTTTGCGGTATAAACTGGTATACCTTTCTTAGATCCGAAAATTGATAATAGGGGTTTATGATCAGTGATTAAGGTAAATTTTCTGCCATGCAGCATCTTGTGAAACTTTTTTACTGCGAAAATTAATGCCAATCCTTCTTTTTCAATTTGGCTGTACTTGCGTTCTGCTGAAGTCAATGTTCTGGAAGCATGTGCGATAGCCTTTTCTTTTCCATCTGGAAACTTATGGGATATGACGGCACCGATACCATAGTCAGAAGCATCTGCAGCAATAACGATTTCCAGCGAGGGATCAAAATATGTAAGAAGTAGATCCGACGTTAATAATGACTTCACTTCGTCAAAGCATTTTTGACACTTAGTGGACCAATTCCATTTTACATTACTGGATAATAATTGGTTCATGGGTGCCCGGAGGCGATGCAATTGTGGCAAGAAATTACTGTAATAACTGATAAGACCAAGGAAAGAACGCAGAGTTGCTACATTAGATGGGGGAGGCATATTTTGGATAGCTCGTACATTTTCCGGATCCGGGCGTCGTCCATTTTTGTCGAAAACAAAACCAAGATATTTCACCGAGTTCATGAAGAATGTACACTTCTCTTCTTTTAGATAGAATCCACACTCAGATATTTTGGTTAAAACAGTATCGAGTCGATTGAATAACTCGGACTTACTGGAACCTGTAACGATTACATCATCCAAATAGACAGCGACTCCTGGCAAATTAGCCAACATAGTGTCCATTATTTGTTGAAAGATAGCTGGTGCTGGTTTCACACCAAAAGGTAAACGCTTATATTGGTAAAGACCTCTGTGGGTGTTAATCGTCAGTAATGGTTGGGAGGCTGGATCAACTTCTATCTGGAGATATGCGTCAGCCAGGTCAATTTTAGCAAAATACTTTCCTCCATTTAGTTTGATGAATAAATCTTCCTGTATGGGAAGTGGATACGTGTGATCTTCTAGAGCATTATTTAGACCAGTGGAAAAATCAGCACATATGCGAACAGTTCCATTTGCTTTTCTCACGACCACTATGGGTGCAGCCCACGATGAATAATTTACTGGCTCAATAACA